ATATATATATGTATACATTCTACTTTATGTTAAAAATTGCATAAGTCCGAGATTTTCCTTCATTATAGATTACACGAAACTTGAAAGATACTCTTTTTTCACTCTTTCTCTTCTGATGTTAAAAAGAAAGAAATGTATACATATGATATATACCTATGATGTATACATATATATATTCTACACGGTACGTATATACTCGTAAATACATATGCTACGAGATTTTCAACAGGAAATTGTCAGTGACCAAGTCGATTCTTATGCCATCGACGACCTATGTACACATTTCAATTGAGATATATTACATTTGTTGTGGCTCTCTCTACATAAGATAGGGTCTTCAATATTTTACATTCAGAAGAACATCATGACATACGAAATGTAACATTTATAGTAATGCCTTGTATTGATTGGTCCACACACAAGGGCCACATTTATTATATCAAGTTCTTCTCGATCAAAGACTATACCTTATGCAGTGAAACAAAATGATAATCTATCAAGAGACTACATGCAAAGAAAAGAAGACATTGGTAAGATTACTGGCGGTTAGGCATGCAATATCAAATGTTGTATGTATTCATTAGAGAAGAACCATCCAACAAAACGTAAATCAAATCCAGTGGTGCACTGTATAAACGTGACAATGCGCTATGCAGAGTCCCAGAAGAATTCAAAAGGCCATCTCAACCTTCAAACGTTCAATGATCTGAAATATGGTTACCTATTACAAAAAAAAGCGAACTAAAATAGCGACTGGCTCAAGAACAAGTTACTACATGATAGCAACAAAGGGAGAAAAAAGCTTAGATACAAAAGTTTGGCCCCTCATGTTTTGTATCTCATCGCAATAATAAACTATGATGATATTCAGCAAAGTTACATAAAAGCGAAAGCACATGAAATATTCTTTATGAGGTACAAGAGAGTCGCCACAAGAATTTCTTCCTGCTGACAAAATGGTATCAGATATCGTTCCTTTTTCAGCCTCGAGAACGAAGCTGGCTGAGCGTTTCGCGCGGACGATCGCGTCCACGTCGATATCACGAATATTTTCGACACGCAGGAATGAGTTCTTTGTTTCGCAATTTACACACGTCGCTCACAATTTATCGGAAAAGGGGAGAGAGAGAAAAAGAGAAAGAGACTGTGTGTGTTTGTATGAGAGAGAATGAGAGAGAGAGAGAGAGAGAGAGAGAGAGAGAGAGAGAAGTACATGCCGCTACATGAAACGAGTGTCGATAGTATATTGTACGTCAAGCTGGGACCAACCCTTTCGTGTGTTTCTTCGAAACATAGAGTTCCACGAGGACGAGCACGCGATCGGCGTCAGAAGACATGCAGCAGTCACCTCTGATGACCCCTAAATCCAGTTGCCGAGCGCCTCTCCTACGAGGACGACAATATTGCTACCTCGGGAGGGGTGTGTGTATGTGTTCCTTTCAATCGCGCTTGTCACTCATTACACCCTCTGTGCTTGAAACAAAAGGAAGACGTACTCGCGGTTTTCGTAAAGATGAAAAGTAGAGATAGAATCATAGAGAGAGGAAGCGTAGAGTTAAAAGGGACAGACCTCTCCGTCTAAATCTCTTTTCACACTTTTTTGCATCTACAACATTTCAAAAGAGAGTGAGAAGAGAAAGAGAGAAAAGTAGATAGATAGAATATTATAAAGTTTAAGAAAGTATGTCTAAAGCGAACGAGACCTAAGGAGTGTGTCTCTCAGCTAAACTAACCTATACTTTCCACCGCGATGAGGACGGATAGCGAGTAACGGCCAAGGTCGCACTGTCGCGGAGGCGAAAGAGAAAAGTAAGCGTGCGCGCGCGCGCGTAGGAGAGAGAGAAAGAGACGAGATTTCGTAGCGAATATTCAAGACGCCATCGATGACGCGAGTGCCTAGAAGACGCTAATGATGACGCGGGATTCTCGGGAGACGCCACCAACGTTCGGGATGTTCAGGTCCGCCCGTTCGCTCGCCCTATCTGCACTCACCTGCACTCGCTCGCGTATACGAAGCGTCCGTACGCGGGCACTCGCGGCGACACGGAGAAAGGAGGCGAGGTGTAGAAAGTGCTGATCGAGAGTAACACAAACCTCGGTAATCCAGGAGCGCGTTCCTTTTAGCCGTCGCGGATTCTCTTCTCCTCTCTCTCTCTCTCTCTCTCTCTCTGTCTTCTTTCCTCTTCACCGCGGTCGCGAAAATCCTC